AATAGGTTAAAAAATTAATAATGTGACCCATGAAAAAGAGCTATTATTTAAAGCCTGTCGGAGTACCCCCTCCAATTTTTTTATTTTTTGGTAAAATAACTCCAGGTTTTGGTGCATTGTAGTAGAACTCTTTTAGTTACATATGCAAAAGACAAATTTTAAGAAAGTATCATAGTTTGCAAATGGGGGGCGCCGCCCCCCAATAGGGGAACTTTGACCACCTGATGGCAGCCGTGACGGGGTAACATTGACCGGCTTGGAAATTAAGTTAAAATTACCATAGGTACCAATATAACATATTTTATGTTTGATACACCTATTAATATTTTTTTCTTTATGTTTCAGACTCTTCAGTATATCTTATATATGGTAATTTCAACTTAATTTCCAAACTGGTCTATGTTACCTCGTCACGGCTGCCATTAGGTGGTCACATTTCGCCAATTGGGCGGCGGCGCCCCCCATTTGCAAACTGTGACACTTTCCTAAAATCTGTCTTTTACATATGTAACTAGAAGAGTTCTACTACAATGTAACACAACCTAGAGTTATTTGGAGTTATTTTACCAAAAAATAAAATTGATTTTACCACCTGGTAAAAAAAACCCAAGAGCTGGAGTAACAAAGACCATCACTTTTTTTAGATTACATCAAAACTATGAGAGGCAGGAGCCAACAATTTATGGTGAGTAAAGCTAGAGTATAGACCTGTATTTTGCATGTTTCCATTTAAGTTTAACTTATCTAGTAAAAAAATGGCATCGTTTTGAAAAAAAGTGGTCAAAGTTATCCCATTTTACGGTACCACCTTTTTTAGCCATTTTCTAAGAATTTCACATCTACCGTCAACCGGGGCTACTCGGGATGATTTTGAACGTTTTTCATTCGTAATTTCTTACAATGAAACATTTCATAAACAAGTTTAGGCTCATTTCAAAGCTCTTTGCAAGGGCTATTACATGGCTTCTCCAAAAAAATTCCATATGCTATTCGTAAGGTGCCAGAAGCAAAAAAAGAGTGTCCTGAGTAGCCCTGTTGAAGGGGGCTACTCGGGACACTTGGAATAAAACTTCATTTTAAAACATTTGAAGCATGCAAAGTGTACTCATCCATTACTAACAGTACCTACTCTGAAGTCCTCCTATTTCATTGTAGATGATGGTAGAAGATAGAATAAATTACATTTTCTGTGATTTTTACTTGTTTTTCCTTTATTTATATGATATTACCATATACATTAATTACTGTATTATTGATGCGATATTACTGTAGCCATGAACATGCCATTGGGCATTTACAACAACCTTGTCCACTGCAAGCTTCGTATCAGCAGCCTTATAGCATTTTTTCTGTATCTGTAAGCTTACAGGAAGGCTTGTAATTTCACACCATTTTAATTGGGTCAAGTGAATTTACTATAAAAAAAAAGATCGTGAAAAACATACCTGAAACAGAAAGGAATGTTTTAGTGACAACCATCATATGTTTTGGAGAAATGAATCATAGTTTAGATCAATTACTTTTCATTCTATGATGCCTGGTGCACAATTCTATATATGACATTTTATGCACAATTTTGTGATGACCAATGATGCACTAATTTTTTGATAAGAGAAATTTTTTTTGCTGAGTGAGGTAAATGTAATCAATATTATTTGTTTTTAAACAATTTTTTCGTAACTGGAGCCTTTGCTAGCTGAGTTTCTACTGTAAATGCATTTTTGGGGGTGTCCTGAATAGCCCCGGGGAGGTGTCCTGAATAGCCCCGTGGGGTGTCCCGAGTAGTCCTGCCGTGCGTAAATGGCCACCATTTTTTTTTTGATTGAGCTATGTAAATTCTGCAAATAAAGTTTTCATGTTGACACTTGTCTGCCACTTTTTTCTAAGCAAATTTTTTTAATACAGCAAATATTTTTTTACTACAGACCTTAGCAGAAGTAACTTTTTAAAATAGGTATCATTTTTCAACATTTTTTTCACAAATTTTTCAAAGCTAGTAAATGTGGTAATGTTGACATTTATGTCATTATATTTAGTTTGCAATATTCCAATTAGTTTTGCTACTAAAACAGTTTTACACCGTGTCGGAGGACTGTCCCAAGTTACCCCGCCCATCCCGAGTAGCCCCGGTTGATGGTACATCATACAATTCCACATCATCTACAAAGGTAGAGGACTTCAGAGTACTGTTAGTAATGGATGAGTACACTCTGCATGCTTCAAACATTTTTAAATTTAGTTATTTTGAGTGTCCCGGATTACCCTGTTCCCAGAGGTAATTCGGGACACTTTTATTTTGCATCTGGCACCTTAGGAATAGCATATGAAATTTTCTTGGAAATCCCATACGGTAGCCCTTGTAAAGAGCTTTAAAATGAGCCCAAACTTGTTTATGAAATGTTTCATGGTAAGAAGTTGTTAACAAAAACTCCCAAAGCCCAACTTCTTCTTCTATAAAACTCCCCAAACCCCATTTCATGGTACTGCACTGCAGTACCATCAAATGGGTACTGCATCAAACCTCACCGAGCAAAAAAATTCACTTAACAAAAAATTTTTGCATCATTGGTCATCACAAAATTGTGCATTGATTGTCACCAATAGGTGACAATATGTCACCAATAGGTGCAGCAGGAGTCTTATGAAGAAAGATTGAAGATTATGAAGCTTCCCAGTCTCCGGTATTGTTGCCTGCATGGTGACATCATTGAAGTATACAAGTATACTCATGGTTTGTACAAGGTCCCAGGATTACTAGTATTTGAAACAAGAACCAACACCAGGGGCTACAGCTATAAACTAAAAAAACTGCGGTGCAACTTATCCACACGACAAAATTTCTTCTCGCTTCGAGTCACCGACATGTGGAACAGCCTCCGTGAAGATATTGTTGATGCTCCAAGTATGAACGCGTTCAACAACAGACTAGACAAGGCCATGCAGTAGCATATGTTTTGCCTTGAAATGCCTCATATCCTAGTCTCTTATACACATCTAGATGTGTATAAGAGACAGGACCGGCTTTGCTACCGGCCAGTTTAACCAGNACAACAGATGCTGTAGTATAATGCAGTGTTTACCTAGTACAGTACAACAGATGCTGTAGTATAATGCAGTGTCTGTCTCTTATACACATCTAGATGTGTATAAGAGACTTGTTTCAACATTGCTTCAGCCTGACGTTGCCTGATGGGAATACTGTAGCCTCAACCACAAACTGGAGGCTGTGGTGGGATCGTTTGGGAGGCAATTTTAAGTGATCATATAAGAGTATCTTGCTGGCTGAAGGGTTGAGGAGGCAGTAAAGATAGCTTAAGTCCAGTATTATGTTGATATTCTTAGCTGCAAGTAGCCTCATGCTATTAATTCCTGTAAATTCCATCCAGCAATGGAGGGCAGCAGCTCATCCCTACCCTCCATCATGACAGTTTACATCAAAGAGGAGCCTGGAGACGAGGGAGAGGACATAACTGTGAAGGATGAACCACTTTGCAGTGAAGAATATGAGGTGATATTTTTAACAAGATTTGTAAGCTTGTAATTTAATTTCACTCAATACTTGCATGAAAGTGCTAAATTATTATCTCAAACAGAATTTGGATGTAACGTATTTTTACAGTACCAAAGCAAAAGTTTACACAGAAATGAGCTTATGAACAACCTTATAAAGAATTTTTTATTATAAGTAACTATTCATGAATAGCTAATAAATGTTATTAAATTAAGGTATCTGATTCACATTGTGTTATTCTGTGAATCTTGTATTGAATATTTTAATTTAGTATCTATGGTATAATTCTTTTTGAGTTAGGCCATTTTCTGGACCTTTTTAATTTATGAATTTCATCCAAATCCACGCATGGTAACTAATGTTCCTGCTCTTGATGTGACCAGCAAACTCCACTTCGCTCATCTTGCAAGCCATGCAAGAAAGAGGTTCAAGTTGAGGCTCACGAGGCCTGCACCAGCGCCTCACAGTACACTGCTGCAGTGCCTCATAAGCAGGTTGGTAGAGCTGGTTTCTCAGTACAAATAAATTGCTGAAGAATTCAAATGTTGATGATAGCTGATGATCTGTCTGCATTGGCTGTACTGTTAACATCTCATCTCTTCAGCTCCTATTTTTAATACATTTATCATTTGTTAAGCACTTTATATTTTCAATCCTTTGTTCTCCCATCCAAGTTTTTTTGACTCATTTTCTGATAAAATATCTGCCTGTTGAATCTAAGCTTGTTGTTAGTATTACATTGACGGTGTGAAATGAACAGAACTTCTTTGGCAATACAGGGTCATCAATATTTAGCATTACAACTTCGAGTGGTTAGAACTATGAAATGAAACACAATTGTGAATGTTTGAAAATGTATTTATGTAGGCAGAGGTTCAGAGATACAATTCCCACAATTTCGTTCAATAGGTCCACCATCTTCATCAATAACGAGTTGTAGACGCTTAGAGAAAGCCTTACATGAGTCACGAATGACACTCTACGGGATTTTGGCCCACTCCTTCAGCAGTTTGACCTTTAGGGCGTCCAAACTGTGATGGTGAACGGTCGAGACCTTGCTCTCAGGGTATGATCAGATCTCAAAATCCAGATGATTCAGATCGGGTGACGATGGGGGCCATTCATATTTGGTAATGAAGTGGGGAACATTCTCGGACAACCACTCCTGAATCGATTTGGCCCCATGGGATGGTGCAGAGTCCTGCTGGAACGACCAGGGACGTTTTTTGAAGTGCTTTCGTGCCCAGGGCAACAATGCACCAACAAGGATGGCATCTCAATAGTTCTTCTGATTCATTTTCACCCCTTCTGTCAACAAAAAAGAGGGGACTCCTTGAGGACTCTATTACGGCTGCCCAGACCATCACTGAGGTCGGGCATTGCTTCCTAGTCACCACACGGGATCCTTCGTCCCTATTCTTTAAGAATAGAATAGAAGTGTCGGCGTTGAAGAAATAGGCCCATGGCCTATTAAATGATCGATTTCTTTTACCAAATTCGATCATTTTGGGAATTGAAGTGGTGTTCAACATTGAATATCTTCTCATCACTGAAAACTAGATTTGGCAGAGTGCCATCATGAATGCGGGAAAGAATCTTGGATCTTTGGAGCCGTTTGTCAACAACTTGAGCAGACAGTTGGTGTTTTTTGACACCATAAAGATGATAATGATAAATAATGATAAAGATTAATGAGAAGGTGTAAACAAATGACAAATATTGAGGACAATTATCAACAATTGATTTTGAAAAAAAAAATGTAACGCTAAATATTGATGACCCTGTATGTACCTCCTCTGGTAATGCATGCTGATATGGTGTTCATTTCTTGAATACCTTGTTTTTCAGGGTTTTTTGTTCTTCTGTATAAATAAATTAGAGTTGCTATTTATATGATGGAAATGGATATGAATTCACATTTTCTTTCTGTATATTTTACAGATGAATTCTTTCTATATAATCCTTGTATCCAAAATGTCATTGTTTTGTAAAAGATGTGTATACATCAGGCACGATTTGAGACATTTTTTATGGACTTGCATTAACAGAAGTTCCGTGCCCTGATGTCATTTCTATTTCTATTGCCGAGATGATTTTCCTTTTATTAGAAATATTCTAATGTTATTGATATACGGTAATTCAAGCTTTTTTGTGAAATCTGTCTCCATTGAAAAGTGTAGAAGGCAATGATAATTTTATCTGATATATGTTTGAACACTACAATAATTTCATGACTTGAGTTCATTGCCTGATTTGAAAGAATTGCTCACATGAACCTGCTCTCCGTCTCTAGGATGTCTTGCCATGCAATGCCCAGAGCAACATTGGACAGGATGAGTGGATGGCAGTTTCTCCTGAAAACAAGGAAAAAAATATTTCTGCTGCTGAGAAAAATATTTCTCCAGTGCCCAATAGAGCAGCTTTAGTCCAGGAAGTTCTCTTTGATCAGCCTGTGGCTGAGTTCAAGTCTTTTGAGTCAAACTTGCCCAACAAAGACAATGGAAGATTAGCGGAGGAATTGCATGAAGTTTCCTCATCCACTGATTCATCCCATTCTAAAGCTCCTTTTAATGCCCACCAGTTGAACAAAATTGATTTTGGATCTGGATTTAAATGCAAGTTATGCAACTATGTCATGGCTATAAAACGAAATCTCTGTAGACATTTGTTTTCTAAGCATAGTTTTGGGGAAGGATTCAAATGTAAGTTGTGTGATTATGCTGCTGGCAGACAAACACAACTCAAAGTACACATGTTCTTCAAACATGGTTTAGGGAAGAGTGTAAAATGTGATGTGTGCGACTATGTTACTGCGCAAAAACAAAACTTAGAACGTCACCTGTTTGTAGAACATGGTTTGGGGGAAGGATATAAATGTGATCTGTGTGACTATGTTACTGCTCAAATACAAAATCTCCGAAATCACTTGTATTCTAAACATGGTTTAGGGAAAGGATTCAAGTGCAAGTTGTGTGATTATGCTGCTGGTAGTAAAGTTCTTCTCAGCAGGCACCTTTCCTCAAAGCATGGTTTGGGAGGCTTAAAATGCAAGCTATGTGATTATTCTGCACGTGATAAATCTCATTTAAATGAGCACATGTTTTCTAAGCACGGCATGGGTAAAGGATTTCAATGCAAGCGGTGTGATTATGTCAGCTGCAGAAAAGATGGCCTTGATAGGCACATGTTTTCTAAACATGGTTTAGGGAAAGGATTCCCATGCGATTTTTGTGATTATGTCACTGCTAAGAAATGTTATCTAACAAAGCACCTGAAATCCAAACATGTTCTGGATTATGAAAAATTTAATAGTACAAGTAGTGCTACTATGTCTGCTGACAATCCAATCTAAACTTTGTTGAAGGGGTTTGTTTGAATTCAGTTTGTGTGTATAGGTTGCAGCTGATAAATATCAGATGAAATGTGTACCGATTTATAGCAGTTGTTTGGTTGAAGTATTCCATATTGAGTTTAGTTGCAATGCCACAATCAAAATTTGAATGAGACTTGCAAACTATGCACCTTCCATGTCAAGAAATCAAGGTCTTGATGCTCTGTAATCTGGTCGGCCTCCTCATTTTGTGCCAGAATTTTTAATTTTAATAGTCTTATTTAGATGAGATAATGTGAGTGATGCAAATCAATTTTTGTGCTCTTATAATCAGTAATTCAATACTTTGAAATTTACAAGATTATTTGTACTAAATACTTGGGTCTTTTTCATTACTCAGTTGGGGGAAGGGCCTTTCCAATAATAAACTTCTTATTGGCAACAATAGTAGCGTCCACTTGTAGGCTACTAATTTAAAGTTGCTAGATTGAAATAACATTTACCAGGTTGAATATAGTTAAGGTTTGTGATAATGATTTCTTAATGCAAATTTTAGGCTTACATATTTGACTTTGAATTTAAGTTACCCAATCTTCAGCTAGAGATAACACCTACTCCTGGAGTTGGAAGATAATATGTCTAAGGTATTGTACTGATGATAAAATACATGAGATTTCATCTCATAATAATATGCATTCAAAAATTACTTTTTAAAGACAACACTTCCAAAGAGGCCAGTGTCTCTGATGTTACACATGTACTATGAATTTCATATTATTTTTTTCAAATATTTGAAAAAAATTATTTTTTAAAATTTTTCTTTAATATTAGAAAAAAGTTAAATTTTAAAATCTGTCAATTGATTAATGCATTGTCTCCAACTTTATGCAAGTTTGCAAAATTTAAGATCAATTGGACCGGAGAAGTGTGCCAAATATCGATTATAAGATTTGTAGCAGACAAACAAACAAACAAGAAGTAAAGTTAAGGAGAAGTGTTGTAAAAAATATGTCCTTTTTTGCTTTGATGTTCCTCAAGATCTGAGCTGGTTCATGTCATCTCCACGGACAACAGATATTGCGTCAGCCACAGTCTTGTGTTCCAAGAGGAACCCAATTACCTTATCCTAGCAAACATTTGAGAGATGTTTAGGCACTTTATTTATTAATATCATTTTCTTGAGAGGAGAAGTTCATCCATTGTTTTTAACCTCTCTACATTAAAAACAAGTGCTTGAAGGCAGTGCTTATTTTAATAAATAATATCCGTGTTGTGGATTAGTGAACCCAAATGCCTTTGAGCAGGAAGTGATTAATGCAATTGTGACAATTATATTAATAATTAATCAATAAATTAATCAATAATGGAATTTTTGACTGCTCACTAGTTCTATGATGTTCTTCATTGAGTTATACTGTCTGTATCTGGGATTTTTATTGATAGTACAACAACGATGCAACTAAAATGCTTGCTTCCACCAGATTGTATTCGTAGACATCTGTAAAGTTGCCCTGGAGAGAATGAGCTAAACTTTCATAGGGGAAAATGTGGGGGAATTCTAACTTGACTGCCATGGGTGACTTGGACCATTTTCAGCGCTTACCTTTTTGTGATGCAAATAATCACATATTAAATACATAAAATATATCTCTATATTGCCATTGTAGGTGATCTTGTGGTATTTTATGAGCCATCAACACAATTTCTCTGAAGTGAGAAATTTTTGAGTTACAGGTTTTTCCCCCTCAGGGGGGACTTCTGACGCGTGTCTGTGCGCATCAGAAGTCCTATGGGATTTCGCGCTCCTAGGGGGATAGTTCCTGAGCGCGCCACCGCTGAGCTCGCGGTGTCTGACTGCAGGTCTCAGTTGTGGGGTTAAGTTATTATGTAGGTAGGATTCCTTACATTTCCCTTCTCAGTCTCTCTCGTGTGGGCGGCAAACGTCCCGTGTAAGCAACCTCTTGTTCGAGTGTCTTCGTTTCTGTTGCTTTTCACCTGTCCCTCCTTGTCACTTCGTCTCTTTGAGATGCTAACGCTGCTTCTTTCGAGCCAGCTTCAGCGGGCTGGGCATCTGAGACCTTCCGCCCCTTGTGGGTGATGGATAATTGAGACCTTCCACCTCTATGGTGATGTTCATCTTGACTTTCGGTGCGAGATAGCTAAATAGCTGAAGCGCTAGTAAACATTTGGCCACAAAACTAACTAACTAACTTACAGGTTATTTCTTATTGTCAAAAAGGTCCAAGTCAACTTGTTCAATTATAGATCCTAATTTTTTTCCATGTTGGTGGCATATTAAGAATAGAATAGAAGTGTGTCGGCGTTGAAGAAATATGCCCATGGCAAATTTCAACTTTTTCTAATTCTTAAATTATTTTTTCGAGAAAATACTAAAGAATGTGATATTATCTATTATTATCACCCCATTTATTTTTTCAACTGTATCTTCTTATCTAAGACTTTATATCTTTATGTCTCTGACTAAAATGCTTATTATTAGACCTTGTATTTAACTTAAAGCTGTACATTTCTTATAAAAAGCATCTCTATGTAAGGACTAATATTTTCATAAGGATGTTTTCATCTTCATTTGAATGTTTTTCTTCATTTACTGCTGCATCTCTGTGTCCTGGTTATTTGGTTATTATTTAATATTTTATACATTACTTACTAAATAGGCAAGAGAATCAAATTTGTAATTGTTCAAGTTTTGTCAGTGTCATAAATTTGACTATAAATGCTCAAGTTGAGTGCAGTATTGTGCTGGAATTTGCCACAAATATCAGGGTAAATACAATGCAGTATTTACCTAGTACAGTACAACAGATACGGTAGAGATTCTTCATAACATTCTCAATTTACTGAGTATATATTCCAGCTGTAACTATTCTAGGTAATTTAAAATAAAATTGTATTTTTCCAGCTTCTTTAAATCCCAATTAATGTCCGATGTCTTCCTCCATTTCTTTTCTATCCAACTTGTTTATAAAATGTCACCTTTTATTTCATTTCTTTAAAGTCCTGATTGTATTTATATTGTAATCTATTTTTCTCCATTTCTTTTAGATCCTAACTGTGTCGTTAATTTAAACCCTGTTTGAGTCATCCTTGCTGAATCCTTATTGTATCAATAACCTTGTAAGCAATTTTCCTACCACAAAATAACATTTATTATTTGTTTGTGAAAAGGTATTGTTCTAATTAACTTTATATATTGTAACTAATACTGTTGTAGCAGTGAGTTGTGGGTTTGATTCTAGCTTCCTGTAACAGTTCTGGTCAAGATCGGTGAGGTGGCCGGGTGGTTTAACACCGGATACTGGAGCAGTGAGTTGCTGGTTTGAGACCCGTAGCAAGCTGTGAAATTTTGTGATGTTCAGAATAGGCGAAAGTGGTAATGGCCAAATAATACACGCTGATACCACTCAGAAAATACAAAATCTTCGCGGTATTCAATGCATCTCATGTTCACCGCGTGCTGGGCCTCTCAGTGTCACCAGCACTCGTGCATCACTTCTCAAGAGATTCAAATTCAATATTCCAACCTTTGACAACTCTTCCAGACTTGAAGGAAGAGTTGGCAAGGAAGAATCCTTTACTGGAAATATATCATATGCATCTCAGACCAGACGCCGTTCATCTTGATCTTTTAGCTATTGGTCAGACCGCTGTTGCCGCCACATACAATATTGTTTGGGAGCAATGTTGTTTACTTTAATATAATAAGCGTCAGCATCTCGGAAATGGTCATGTTTTGCCTGTTGCAAATTCTTGATATTGCAGAATTTTCACAGCTAACGGCGATGTCACCACAGCAGATATGTTGCCAGTCATCAATAGAAACGATCTATTTTATAATTCAGTTGAACTATCAACACATTATCTTCTTGAGTGGTTAAGAAATGGTTAAAATGCTATGCTGGTGATTAAAAACACTGTCTTTTAATCGCCTTATAAAATTGAAACCAACAAATTTTCCTATATATTGGAGATTTGATTTATTACGTCATGATTGACTTAAAATTCTAATTTCAAAATTTTCGAAAGCTTGAATCTTTATTTTTCAGCGTGTGCTAATTCTACCTTCTTGCAAATTTATCTTACTGAACCTGGCAAAAAATTTACAGTGAAGTGTTGGAAAGCTCGGCTTAAAAAGCATTGGGAATTTGAAATTATGTAATAATAAAAATAAATATTATTACATAATAAATAAATTATATAATAATTTAGCCACTATGCGGACCAGGAACCCTGGACCCCACGTGCGCGGTGCCTGGGACCCCCACGTGCGCGGTGCCTGGGACCCACGTGCGCGGTGCCTGGGACCCCCACGTGCGCGGTGCCTGGGACCCCCACGTGCGCGGTGCCTGGGACCCCCACGTGCGCGGTGCCTGGTTTTGTTTATGTGTTTTTAGACCTGAAGCAGGGACGAGGATATGGAAGTGAAGTTGTAGTCATTGTAAGCGAGTGTGAAGCGTCCTTGTAATGTGGGACGTCGCTCTAGGGTGTTCGTCAGATCAGCTTACACCTTGCAGTCTTGAAATGCCAAGCCCCTTACGGACCTGATAAAAGTCCAGCAGATGTTACCATAGGCCTATTTCTTCAGCGCCGTAACCACAATGCAATACTACTCTCATCTCCACAAATACTACAACACAGTCCACCTCAAAAACGTGGTGTGTTTTTACAAGCCTCGCTCGGCGCGCTATACCCGCCCAAGCCTCAGTCTGCTCCGTGTTGACATTTTGCGAGCATCGGTGCTACTCTTTCCTTCTCCAGCCTTGATTAATCTTTTGGTGATATGCAATTTCAGTTTTAAGCGTCTTTATGTATTCGCATTATTTATGTGTCAACCCTAGGCAATCAGCATGGCCAACCATTAGTTATATAATGTAAAATCTAGAGATCCATAGCTAAAGCGACTATTTCGATGCTGATCATAAACATGCCACCACTCGGTGGTTATTATACACAATGGCTTCCTAGCCCTTACCCTTCCTTACGAATGTCTAGCCATATTTCATGATGTCTCCCTGTTAAACGAGAGTTGTGTATATTAACGATGGCTTACCCTTTGGGGTGAGATCTAAAAACACTTCATGGTTTTAATCGATGCTTATGTATGATACCACATTATGCCCCTTGTGCAGCTTTAATATCATTTAAAACTGGGTAGTTTTTGAATTGTTTCTTCATATGTTTGAACGTCATGATCTTAACCGTAGTGATTGCAGCAATTTATTTGCAATGCAATGCTTCAAGAAACTGTCAAGATATTGCCAGCCTCCACTCGTAGACCTGGTATAAATTCGCACTTACCTCAATATATTCGATACCCCATTGATGCTCTTACAAAATGCACGGCCATCAATATCAACTGTTTATGTTTACCAACCATTGACGCTAATTCCTGCCAGTTTTGCCACGAAGTCGCCAAAATCTTATAAGTCTCCAATGCTGCCTAATCAAAACCTTTATTTGTGTAATAATCACCTCGTGCATGGTTCAATTCCTCGTTGATGGACCACCACATCCGTGTCATAATGTGTTATATTATCATTTGCAGTGAATTTTTGATTAATTTCACCATATCATAATTTAGCATTCAATGTCTTCAATAGGTTGAAGGACATATGAGTTGATTGTCTAAGATCAGACTAAATTAAGATAAAACGCAAACAATATGTGCACGTGCCCCAATTTATACTATTCGAAATTGCAATCGATATGTA